TTACATTAGCTCATATGGTTAAGTTACCTTGCACGCACAGAAATTTTTCATGAAAAAGTGCCATAACTGTTGTGTGGAGGACTACATAGCACTTCAGTGGCGAGGGATGTGATTTGCATGTACCAATACATACCTGACCTACCCATCAGGGGTGCTGTCAGGCATAGGTGACCAGTGTATCTGGAGAACTTTTGTCTTTTCACATGGAAACATTACAGAAAGTCAAAGGAACGCACTGCTAATTTAAATTACAAACAAATAAACCTTTTCCTTATTAGCAAACAGTAGGAAATTTTTCAACTCTTCACTGATATTCAGCATGCTGAATGTTGGTTAGATGCCACCAGGCAGATCAGGTGTTAGAGACAGAAAGGAAAAGGCAACAGATACCTTAAAATTAAACTCTTTGTTTCATTCAGTATCTTATTACATATTACTACACCCATCCTAACCTGAGCAATAAACTTCAACAATGCCTGGAGGAAAGTGACCCGTGACACTAAGCATCAGAAAACAGGGAATAAGGTGACCTTTCATACTTAGCAGTACTGAAAATCTACTGGCCACAGAATATTAAGCAAAATTCTTTGATCTTAAAAACATTTCTTCTCAGTTTAAGAAATCATTATTTTTCTCCCCAAATTGATGTTCAAATCCAGATTTCCAAAGGAAGAACTGAGATACTCCTCCACAGTTGTTATGTTAATGTCTTTAATATAAAATATCTAAAATCTAGTTAAATACTGTACTGAAAAGCAGTTCAGAGAGAAGCTTTTTTCCTTCCCCCACTAAAATATACATGAAATTTTCTAGAACAAGAAAAAAGAGCAAATATCTGCATGAAAATTTTCATCCTGGTTTGGGCTAGAAGAGAATAGTTATTCTATGAGAAGAGCATAACACTGGTCAGACTCAGTTCCCCATGATACCTTACTGACTCATCACATCCTAAGAACATAACAAAAAGTTTATTTTGTGCATTAGCATTGAGATCTGAATTTTCCATCAGTTTTCTTCTGTTACCTATTGTTCTATTCTCATAAAATGGAAGAACCTGCATAACAATGGAAAGCCAAACCATTTTTGTCTGGTTGAAACCCATGTAGGGTTCTATAAAATGTACAAATAAACAATTTAGTATCATATTTTAGAATACTGGTAAAATCAGAAGACAGAAACTTATTAATAATTGCATTAATTCAGGGGTTTACTAAGGTGCTTTTCAAAAAGCTAGTTAGTCATCAAATTAATATGAAGAAAAGAATAGCATGTATAACCGTGCATCGGCATCATTTTGCATTAGATGAAGTATCTAGAACAATAATGATCAAGTCAAGTTAATATAGTGGGATTAAAAAGGAACCAAGAAAGGTTTGGGTTTTTTTATTTATTCACTGCCTTGGTAACCAAATTAATTTCATTTAATCTTAATAGGCCAAAAATTGGCAGAAAAGGATGGATAGTCATAGCTTACATTTTTGATTCTGAAAAATGAGTGTATTCAGCTGTGGATTAATTTCAAATCTTTACCAGTTTAAAGACAGATATTCTTGAACTGAGGTTTTCCACTTCTATTTTTCCTACAGTAAAGCCGAAGGGCATGTGCAATATATGTTTACACAATTAGGCAAGTCAGAATTGAATACCATGTTTATCTTGATTTGCTTTGGCATCAAACAGGCAGATAAAATGTAATGGAAAGGAAAGCTAGGTTATATAATTCAGCAGTAAATATTTCTAAAATTGTTTTCAGTGTCAATGGCAGTAAGCTGCATATTGTTAATACATAATTGATGTTGTATAGTGCATAATGTGGTAAGTAGTTATAAAATCCTAATCCTCCTTTTACTATCACCACAAATGTTTCTCACTATTGCTAGGACTAACTTTAATCTTACCTGGGACATCACTTGCCCCAAACGAGTCAATGCAACCCTTTAATTGTATGTATTTTGTATTTGCTTTTCTAGAACCCAAACTGTTTGAAACAGCTTCAGACAAAATACCTCTCTCTTTGTCTATTAAAATCTCAGTTTTATATGTCCTATAGAGTCCAAGCAGATTACAGATAGCCTTATCTGTCTGATATAGTTGTGCTGACATTCGTACTGCCTGGGAACACATATATTTTATAGCTGCTCTTTGCCAGTAGTCAGTTCCTGCCTTACCAGCACTACCAGGAGGGTTCCGATACTGTAATTCTCACTCCAGTATCAAAAGCTTAGGGGTTCACATTCAAACTCTACCCTCCAGGCTGTCACTTTTTGGCAAGCCTTTCCCTAAACCCACATATACAACCAAACGTGAAGAAGACACCCACCCCCTTGCCTGGTTACACAACATTAAAATCCTGGACACTTGAAACAACAAATTCTGTTTCAGAAGGGTTCATTTTTTATCCCCCCTTCCGCCCCGACTCTTAGTCCCCATTTTTCACGTGAGACAAGTAGGAGCTAGCACATGCGAAGGCATAGTGCATGTCTCTAGGGTACAGAAAATACCTTAAAAAATCAACAACTCTAAGGTAAAGCAAGCTATTAGTTCTACTTCTGAAATACTTGGTTCTGTATGCATATAGAGGTTACAAACATTATGATGTATACAATGCTGTTGACACCTTTGATGTGTGGCATCAGTACTGGGGAAACGTTATTAAAGAAGATCAACTAATATTTGTATTAAACAAACACAAAACTAATTGGGTCCCATGAAAGCTATCCTCGCCTTTATCTTCATTATCACCCTTTAATGGATATCTGAAAGTAGCACAAGGGGAGGTTACATACATATAGAAAACTTCTCCTTGTGACAACTCTCTTCTCTAAAAGGTTGGCATACCTTATAGGCAATGCATGGATTTGTGAAGGTTCAGAATTAAGAGAAAAGCTATGAAAACCCTGGCACCCATAAATGCTGCTTCCAGACCTACTGTAGCATGAATAAGCAAATTTGCCAATTCTCTGAGAGTTGAGATGAACAACAGTGTGCTAAAAAACATTTCCATTCTAAAATAAGGTCTAAGCACAAACACGGGCATGGTATAGCTCGCATTCAGTTAAAATAGTAAGCACAGAACACCTCATTATCTTCTTATATCTTCCCAGCAAACACTGCTGCCAGTCTTTCCTAGACAGGGGATTCACATCCTGTAGTGGACAGCAAGGGGCTGGCAGGTAACTACCTTTTATAAAAGGCAGAATAAATTTAGAAAATATAAATAAAAAGACGGTTGGTTTGTTCCAGACCTCTTTCAGCAGACTTCATCGTTCATGTCTGAAAACCACTCGGTCAGAAGATGAACCCTGGGGGGGCTGAATCAAGCTTAAAATAATTTATCTAAGTCATTCAAAACAGAAGCAAGCCCAATTCTTAAAAGACAATGAAAAAGGTCTTCCTGTTAGGTGTGGACAGCAGCACCCTTTCTAACACACTTCACTAAATAAGCTGCTGAAACAAAAGCACGAAATACATCCAAGATCCCATTATTCACTTTTTAGGTGACGTAGTTTGAAGTTGGCTCCGGGAGGACTTTATGCAGACTAAAACGGTTTTACGGAAAGGTGGGATAAAATGTCATTAAAGAAAAAAAAAACCCGAACCCAACCCAACGCACCCCAACCCACACGAAGCACCCGCCGGAGCCGGCGCCCCCCGACTGCCCACCACGGGGCCCGCGCCGGCACCGTAGCCCCGCCCCCCGCGCTGACGGCGCGCCGCTCCGCTCCCGCCATTGGCTCCGCGCGCCGCCGCCGGCGCCGCCGACCAATGAGACGCGTCTGACGCCAGCGCCTCGCCTGCCTGGCTCCCTGCCGCCTCCCGGCACGCAGCGCCGGCGTGCCGCGGCCGCACCGGCAGCTGCAGGAACTCCGCTAACGCGCTTCCCCGGGAAAACCCTTTTTTTTTTTTTTTTTTTTTTTTTTTTTTTTTTCGGTTTTCCTGCAAGCCAGCCGCGCGCGGAGAGTAGCGTGCCCCGAGGGCAGGTCTGTCAAACAAACGTGCACCCTGCCGCCAACCCCGCAGCTTGAATGCAATATTTATCTATCTATCTATCTATCTATCTATCTATCTATCTATCTATCTATCTATCTATCTATCTATCTATCTATCTATCTATCTATCTATCTATCTATCTATCTATCTATCTATCTATCTATCTATCTATCTATCTATCTACCTATCTATCTATTTAATGAGCTTCCATAATATGTTTGCTTGTAATATTTTAAAAGACTCGATGTTTTCCCAAAGAGCAAAAGTTTTCCGGGGAAGTATTCTTTTGCTAACAATACTCATTAAGCACTAATCGCATTAATTCAAACATCAGGAGCAAGATATGACGCAACAACCACTGGTAGAATTCATAAGCAAGTTAACTGCACTATATTGCAAATAAAGTTACAAAGATTTTTCAGTGAGCAAGAACTGTAAATGCCTGTGGTTCAAAGAGGAAACACATGTTTTAATGCTGATAAAGGCATTTTAATGCTATATGATTGCCTTCCGAACAGCCACGGTTGAGAACCTACCATACAAACGCATTTATTAAAGATTACTGAATTACCATATGAATGAGCATTTTTTCCTGTTTTCAAGTCACTTGAGTGTATATAAATAAATAAATGCCAGGACAAACAACACAATATCATAGGGGGAAAATATGTCTTCATTATTTCCTTCAAGTCAGGCTAAGAAATGGGAAGAAGTGTTCCTTTGACACAGAAAGAAAATACATCTCCCTGCTCAGACGGATTTTAGCATGTATGAAAACATGACCATATCAACACAGTTTTTACGACTTCCCTATTTTGTAAAGGCAAAGGGGTATCAAACTCATATTACTTCATCACTACTATCCCTGAAAGCTTTTCATCTTTCTCATAGCCCAGCTAGTCCTCAGTTGACATTAATGTAGGGGAAAACACAGCATCTGGTAGTTGCCACAGTATTTTGCAAACAAGCATTTTGAGTTTAACAGTCTGTAATGTGTATTGATTACTCACCATATCCATGAATGCCTCCTAAAGGGGAAATTATTCACATGCATCATGTTCACAGATCTTCCAACATCAGTGTTTTTCCTTGTCAGCTAGATTTATCTGTTAGGGTATTCATAGATGCATTCCGGAACAACTGCACAAGCAGTTAACAGCAGGGATTATTGCAAGAATTACTGTATTCCACAAAAATAAAAATTCCCAGGATCCGAAGAAAGACTTCTCACAGGGTTTTCTAGGTACACGTCCATCCTTTTATGCATCACTTGCTACTTAAAAAACATTAAACTAATCAGTATACATAAACTGTTATGACAATGACAACAGTTTGCCTCGATAAAAATCCAAGTGCTTGGACTGTGAATTAAAGCATCTTCATATGCAGCATTTTGGACAGTCGGTAAAGGTTAGTCAAAAGATAATTTCTTGTCATCCATGCCAAATCAGTGGTTAGGGGGAGATGTGCAACTTCAGATTGCCTTGCCATGTTCAGAAATGAATACTGCTTTTTCTTCTTTCTGAGACACATATTCATCAGTGATCACTTCAATGCAGTTTTCCTCTTTTACAAGACCAGGGAACAGGATGATGTTGAACAGCCATGTACAAGAAACCCAAAGTTCTTTCTGAATTTGATACTAGGGTTTTATTTCTTCAACTAAGAAAAAAGGAAGCAAGTACGCCTTTTCCGTTCCACAGGACGGGGCTACAGTTAGACACCATTGTGAGGTACTATCATAGCACGACCAAATTCATTTTTGCTGTCTAACCCCTCGATAAGGCTGCCTGCTCCCTTTAAGTAAAATGACTAAGCTGTCGACTCTTTCACTGCAGAACCTAGTTCTATTCTGATGCTATACTGTATATAAAACCACGTGCATCCATTTGTACGCTGCAGAATGAAAGCAAAGCTTTAAGTCCCGGGTTACCTAAGCATTCTTTCTCCGCTGTCCTTTTTTTTTTTCCCCCCCAGTTCAGCTCCCAGGCAGTAGTTATCACTCCGGGCGCTCTGGTGATATCCTCGGCAAGATCCTTGAGCCCAAGCTAAAAGAGACGGCGCGTATTCTGGAGCAGCGCGGGCAACAGGCTCCTGCTGCGTTTTCCCTGACGGGAATTTCCAACCCACCCGCGGGGCTCCTCGCGCGGCCGCCCCCAGCGGCCCCGAACACGCGGGGGCTCCGTGGCGGCCGCGGCCCTGCGGCAGGCGGGGCCGGGCTGCGGCGCGGGCCCTGCCCGGCGGGGGCGGCGCTGGCGTCAGGGGGGGCTCTAGGTGGGTTCGCCCGGCGCCGCGTCCCGCCCGGCCGCGCCCGCCGCTGGCGGAGCGGGGGTCGGGGCCAGCGCAAGGCGGGGGAGACGGCCCGGGGCAGCCCGCTGTGGGGCAGCCCGCTGTGGGGCAGCCCGCTGTGGGGCAGCCCGCTGTGGGGCAGCCGGCCCGGGGCAGCCCGCTGTGGGGCAGCCGGCCCGGGGCAGCCCATGTCTCTCGGCTGACTGAAAGCGAAGCGGAATCTGCATGGGAGTGCAGAAATCTGAAGGAAGAGGTACGCGTAGAAATCCGAAGGAAGAGATGCGCATAGGAAACGCATCCACAGCGTTGGTCTCTACTGAGGCATAAAAGATTTCTAGGCAAGCTTCTATACTCCAGTGTGCCCAGGCCGTATGACATTTGCTTGCCATTCTTCTTAAATGGTTTATGCTACAGCAAGACTTTTTAAAATTCAAACGACCCCTTGCCCTTCTGGACAGGAAATCCTGCAGTATGGAAGCCAGCTGCAACTTCAGTGACATTAAAACATGTGATAAGACCGTGTATTTGATTAGGGTGTGGGTGGACTTGGGTGTAACATGATAAGATACTGCACTGCACGTTTCTATAGATCCCATTTCCTTTAAATCAGTTCTGTTGCTTTCACAGCTCTATTCTCTAATGCCCCAAATTAGCCGTAGTACAGTTGATGCCATTCTGGAGGAAGAATAAGGTATTAAACTAGAATGTCACAAAGTGTTGGCAGTGAAGCAGCATTTATTTCAATTCACTAATAAAAAGGGAACCTGTACTGCTGCACACATTCTTATATTATTGCACTTTGAAAACTTGGAGAACAAAAATACAACAGATTCCAAGATTTAAAGGGGCTCTAGCAACATTTATGCCCTACAACTTTGCAGAAGGTCGGGTTTTCTTTTTTCATTTAAATACATTCATGCAGAAGGCAGACACTGATAGTTACAGACAGTGGGAATGAAAATTAGCCTTTTCTCACGAAGAAGTTACAAAACAAAGCATATAATCATGTTCAATAAAGATAAATGTACACTGTAACTTTTAAAAGGATCAGGTAAGCCATTAGAACAGTTATGATATGTTAATGATTTATGTAAAAAGCACCGATCCCCACCTCACCCTCACTAGTCGCTTTGAGAATTGATACCAGAGGCATCTGAAAAGAGTACAAACAAAACTGTGAAAACTTCAATGTTGTGTGATTAATCTGACTATGAGAAAACATTACATCTAAATAACCCAGTTATCTGTTGCTTTCTCTAGGCTAGATTCACTTATTATGAAATATTAACCACATCAAATGCTACACAAATCTGCACCATCATTATTATTTCATATTGCACTTACCTAACTGCATACTTGCCCGATCATCCATGGGCACTGACATTTTCAACACTAGAGTTACTTACTGCCTTGTACTATCTTGAGAAAGAACTTCCCAACACTGATCTGGCACCTAACACCTTTGAAATCTGCAAACGAGTCTATTCTGCATCTATGTGCCAATTTATCCAGTTATCTCTAGTATTAAGTTCAGCACAAAGCGTAACACCCATTGCCTTCGCTAATTTCATTCAGAGCAGAGTTGCAGAAGGAGAGTGGGCGTATGTATATAAAATGACTATGTAGCGTTACAAACCAGTTCAAGAACTCACCAACAAAGTGGAATACACAATATATGAGCTTTCCAGAGCAGGGATAAATTAAAGCCAGAGACTTTAACCAGTAAAGAGTTTTTTGTTAGATTTCCTGTATAGGCTGACTTGTGAAATTCTTCCAGTTCAAACCCATAATAGTTTGCTAATCAGTTCACCTTGAAAAAAAATGCAACAGGTAAAAACATTTAGGATATTAACTTCAGTGGCACCTTTTTTTTTTTTTTTTTTTTTTTGTTCTTTGAAAAAGTAGTTCAAGCACAATTTCAGTTCAAGAAGGAAAAAAAGGGAGGAAAAAAAAAAAGGCAATTCAAAGCAGATTTTGCTTTGATTTCTTGGTTCTGCTATCAGAACAGTATGCTGACCATTAGAATTTAGGCTATAGGAAGGTATAGTGCATCTTCCCCATTTGTGCAAAATCTAGGTTAGGTATAAAGAAGCTGGAGGGAGAAAGACAGAGACACAAAGAGTCTGCAAGTGATAATGGCTCTTCGCTGAGATGGAGGAATCCCAGATTCCAGTCCCTTGAACAAGGTCTCCTTGAGAATTTTCCACTTCAAATTATTAGGTAATGGACAATGTATGTTTCTATCAGGAACTAGATTATCTGGAAGCATTTATTGCTTCTAAATAAATAGTCACATTGGACTAGCGAGTGAGGTTCTATCCTATTTCTGTCTCTTAATGGTCTTGGGAATTTTACATTTCTCACTGCCCAATGAAATATCTAAACAGGGAGAAGTGAAGAGTATGTCCTATAAATTGCGTTTTTAATGATCCTACTAACAGTGCAAAATTGCAAACACCTTTCCATTGTGTTCTTTGGGGGTAGGAGGACCAAAAAGGATTATTTGCATCTCCATTTCTGAATTTCAACATAGTATTCCTCCCACAACACTCAGATTTTCAATTATTAGTGATACTAGAAAATTCACTTAAGAATTGACTAAGGTCTGTGCCTGTTAAACTGAAGTCCTATAAAGTATTTTCTTTACCTCTTCTCATAGTTGAAAATGCATTAGCAGACAGCAGAGGAAGAGTTTACCTTGTGACATTTATGGTCACACATAGTTTGAGTTGGAAGGGACGTTTAAAAGTCATCTAGTCCAACCCCCCTGCAATGACCAGGCACATCTTCAGCTAGATCAGGTTGCTCAGAGCTCCATCCAAGTTAGCCTTGAATGTTTCCAGGGATGGGGCATCCACCACCTCTGGGAAACCTGTTCCAGTGTTTCAGCATCCTCACAGCAAAGAATTTCTTCCTTGTATCTGGTCTGAATCTACCCTCATTTAGTTTAAAACCATCACCCCATGTCCTGTTGCTACAGGCCCTTCTAAATGATGATAGTGCTAAGAGAAGTAACAACTGCTGTTCCTACCAACGAAAATGTTCTTACCAATGAAAATATATAATATAAGCCATACAGATCATGAGAAACAAACTGCACCAGGGGCATATAGAACTACCTTAGCATTCATATGCTAAAAAGGGGAAGACATTTTCTGAAGAGATCAGCTTAACTTACTAAATCTTTTGATTTTTACATAAAGGAGCAATAACAAAGACATCGAATCAAATATTTTGGTGACAATAGAATAACATACAGGGCAAAACGTGTTTAGGAAGGTAAAGCTCATGCTTAAAGAAACGCTAAAAATCCAGCTGTTAATAAGAATTCACAGGATTTCAACAGTGCCACTGGTAAAATGGTAGCTTTTTTGAGACAGTATGAAAGATGAGCTGGTAACCTCAGCCAACAGATTCCAGGCAAGTATCAACAAAAAAAACCTTATCAAACTTGGTAATTGTATAAAAAGTCTCAAAATGTCCTCCAAGAAATTAATGGTTGTGGAGCCTGAAATATGCTATCAGTGACAAGGAGCATTTACTGAGATCAACTCTGAGGTACGTGATACACACTAACACAAGAAACATGTTGCTAACATAAATATTGTGCAGGCAGGTAATTTCAACCTTCAGGAAGAAGGTTGAAATATTTTTTCTTTTAAGGAAAAAAAAAAATGGCAAAACATAACATTTTTGCATGCATTTTTTTAAAACCAGTAAAGAGATTACCCAAAACAGAAGCAAAGAACTGAATGAAAATTAACAGTCACTTAAATGTTTCTAGTGATTCATCTGCAATATTATGAAAATATAATGTATGGATGCGACAATTCCCCATACTTGGGTTCTGTATTTTGGATGTTAGGATCCCTTTAGAAATTCTCCATGAAAACCATATAGATTAAAAAATCAACTAGATCAATGAAGTGGTAAGAAATACATCCCACTGCATACAGTTAAAGGACATCATCCAGGTGATAGGTCTTTAGCCATATGAACCTTTCAGGTCCACAGAAGTTATGTTCAAGAATACTAGCATAGAAAGTAGAGGCACAAATTCATCTCATCAGAATCCTCAACAGAGTGAGCAGGTAAGCCTGATAAACCCCTTACCACGTTAGACTGCTTTGCCCACGGACAGATGTTGTAAGACTGTATGTCAAGCCAAGTATCTTAGATTTTTGTCCTGTCTGCTTCCTCTACCATCCACCCTGCATAGAAACTACCTGGTTATTGGACCCCTTTCTGGAGTGAGTGAACTATTCCTTCAGAGAGAAAAACTTATGCAGCTTTGGAAGCACTTTGCCAGAAGAAGTCCAGATAACAGCAGGTTTGTCTTTATTCTTCCTATTACAGTCTTATTGCATCCTTACAGGCCTTCTACCCTCAGACATCTTCATGGCAAATTATAAGGCAAGCCACATGCACTTTGGTGTCCTGCTATAGAAACACCATTCCAGTGGGCTCTGACAGAGCCTCACACGACTTCAGACACTGTGAACCGAAAAATGACAAAGAAAAATTGTTTCTCTGTACCCAAAGAAGGTCTAAATGACTGCTATGCAGTGTGGATATAACCCACACCACATAACTTGCCTTTGGGGCTTGAGAGCTTAGAGCCACAATTATCTCCCTGAAATTAATACTAAAAGATAAAAATTCAAAAAACATATAGTTCACTTTTGAACAACAATCATGAATTAAATAATGTTGCTGAGAGCTTGTGGCTATCCCTTAAGAAGAAAAAAGCTTAGTTATCAAGTATATTTTTGTTCTTAAAATAATGTGCTCAACTCTAAATGCAGTTTGAGCAGAACATTCTCCATCCAAGCTGTAGCCCCTTTTGAAGTCCAAAGAATCTTCAGGTCAAGAACTTGG